AGCAATGTTAGTTGGCAATATTTTAAATAACTCAGCTCCATTGGATTTTTTCATACTTTCGACAACAATCTAAAATAATGTAAGTAGTTATTGCATTTTAGTTTATGAATTAAGCAAACTTTCAATCTATCTGAAGTATCTTTAACACTGATGTACTGCTGTGTTGGCAAATGCTTAATTCTACATTCCTCACCAAACACAAAAGGATTTCCTAGACAAATGTACAAGGACAATCTTTAATGTACATTATACCTGTCCATATATGAATTGTTTTCTCAAGCTGAAAGAAAGTGTCACCAGAAACAGGCAAGGCTTTAAAAAACTTTTGCCGCCATCGCCGCAATCCAACTATTACAAATATCATTGGTAGACTAGCAATACATTATACAGTGAAACCTTCATTGTGAGACCATTTAAACTGATCAGGAAGCTTATCATTGACAAATGAACCTTTTACTGAGACATAGCCATCAATTTTTAAACTGGAAAGCATAATAACATTACCACCCTAATTATAACAAAATAATAGTCTATAAGCAAAAAATCAAATATATTTACCAGTATATACTGTGGATTCAAAGTGGAACATTTGTAACAGTGAGGCTTTATAGAAAATACAGAACCTGTCCCAGATAAAACTAAATGATCTCTATATAAAAACTGATAAATGATTATAATATTCATTATGTAATACCTGGCTTCAATAGGATTATTAATGCACTGTATTTTATAGCCCTTGTAATAAATGCTTTCTAGTATAATGTTGTCATTAATTGCCAACTGGAAAAGGTAAAAAACATGGTACATGCATGTATTGTATAATTTGCAAACTAAAACTTTTATATAAATCACAAAATAACAAATTAAAAATAATATACATAATAATTTTTTCAGTTATTATGCGTACTCTGCACTTATAATACATTAATAAAAGATTTTGATTATTAAATTAATACACATTTGTAGTCCAAGTCAATTGAACATTTATACAGGCACCTTGTGTCACAAAGAAAGGTTAGAATAAAGAATTGAGCTGATTTTTTAAGGGCATACACACTTCTCTTCTCAATAAAATTATAGGATGAATAATAATAATTATTATTATAGTAATAATCTATGCCATCTCACTCTTTCATTCATTGTATTATTATAATGATTTTAATAATAATGACGATGGTAATATTATTAATAAAAATAACTTGACAAATTGAGTGACCCTACTGAGCCTTGTTTTCTTTCCTTTATACATTCAACCCTACTTCATTAATTTTTTTTAATTAAAATTTTTGTTCCTAGTATAATATTGATTTACATGGACAAAAACAATCTTAGGAGTGACCTGGGGGCTTCACCCCATGCAGGTAATAAAAAGATTAATAGTTTGTTTCTTTTAAATATATATATTATCTTGATTGTATTTCAGTGACAATACATGTTTACATTTGAATACTAGTGGATGCATACAGAGTCAGATACATAATTTATAAAAATCATATTAAGATCAATCGATTAATTTTGGGTACATTTAACTCACATCATCACCCCATCCCTTTTCTTGATGGGAAGAAACAAGCCTAAATAAATTTGCTTCAGAATCCCCTTCATTAAGCCATGCCTGTAAAAAAATAACAGGGAGCTCATTAACAATTACTGACTGAATTATTTGGAGTAGCAGCTAAATATCTGCCGGATGCCTGATGTTGAATCTGAAAATTTTTTAATTTTATCAGTATTAGCTACAAAATTCTGTAACTAACTTTGATGATGCTACCATACACAACAGTCATAGGTTCAGCATTTTGGCTATGAGACAGATTATGTCTTTAAAAGTATATTGAGATCAAAATAATATTATTTAGCATACCTTTGAAGGCTAACACTTTGCAGTTTTCTGTGGCTAATAAGGAATGCGGCAACTACAAACAAATAAACTGATTAAAAATGTCAATATCCATTAGTCTAACACAATGAAACTAATATTGATATTTTGGCAGTTAAGTGGAGTGAAGGAAAAATGCACTAGTCAGGCGGAGCCTCCGCCTGACTAGAAATGCACAACTTGCGAAATGTCTTGTAGCTTGTGTTTACACTAAACTATGAATATGCATCACTCAAAATGAAACTGGTGGAATATTTCTGCTGTAAACAAAATAATAATTCTAATAGTGATAGTAAAAATGCTGCCAACAAAGTAGTGTAAATACAATCTGGATTTGTGTAGATGCAGCCTCAATGTGGTTTCAAATGACCTGTATGCTTACTATTAGACTACCTCAAGGTATGTGGTTTGAAATAATCAAACTGGTTTGCGTATAAAGTGCCATACTAAAACTACAAACATAGATACCAACAGCTGCATTTACAATTGAAAGGTGGCATTTTTTAACTGAAAAGACTCAGTGCTTATTAAGCTTCAAGCCTAGGCACTATATTCCAGGGCCCTCATCTTGACCTCCTGGCAACTAATGTTTAATTTTTTAGTGATAAGTAATGAAGTTATAAAACTGTCCTAGCAGTCTGATTGGCCAATTACAATAAAGCATAGTTATTATGGTAGAAGCTACATAATTTATGAACCACATTCAGTAATGTGCTGAAACTGATTTGTGGTGTAAGCAGGGCTATATTTTCTGCAAGTTACAGAGTTGTATATAGTTTGTACTAATAATCTAAATATTGCTTTCTTCACTTGCACAGTCACGTAGTATTGCACATATGGTTTATGTTATAGTTCAGTGTAGTCACTATTATACTAATAATCTAATTAGTTATCATTTCCTTCACATGAGTAGTATAAACGAAGGTTGAAAATCCACACTTTAGATTGTAAAAGTTGTAATTTGTACTAATAACCTAATCAGCTATCATTTTATCATTTCTTTCACATGAGTAGCTTATTTATGAATAAACGCAGGTTGAAAGTCCACAGTTTAGATTGTAAAAGTTGTAATTTGTACTAATAATCTAATCAGCTATCATTTTATCACTTCTTTCACATGAGTAGTTTATTTATGAACTGGTTTATTTCTATAAACCAGTTTCAAACTGCTGCTTTAAGCTAGGTATAAACAGGGTTTATGCGGCCACAGCCGGCCAGTATAATATTCAGTCTTTAATCAAATACCTCCATGTATTATTGTACCAACTCCATTCCTAACTTTTTTATGAAAACTTCCATTCAATGAAAAAATTTGTTGTCTCTCATAAAAGTTTCACAATTTGGAAGTGCCACTGTATAGTAGATCTAGGCTAAACTGAGTAAAAAACCTGATGTATTTATATTTGAATGTATTTCAGTCACAGGTGAGTGATCAGAAGCCAGTAACTACAATTTTATCTAGTCTGGGCTAAATCACCAAATGTTCTTTTACAGTTGTATATAGCAACTTGAGCCAGCTATACATTTTTGCTGAGATTTTACTGATAATGAGTTTTAGTATTCAAAGTTAATGCAAAATAGTATTTCTATTCATAGAAAAGCCCTGTCTTTCAACTCCATAATGCATTATTTAGCTAAGAAAAAGAGCTATAGTCTTAACTGAGCTAGAATTGATTATTTGCAAGGGGAGATACACATTAAGGGCTAATGTCCAATAAATTTTTAACTGAATCTAGATATTCTCTTTTAAATTGCCCATTCTTTAGCCCTTAATAAAAAGTTTTTAATATTATTGATTGCAAAATTATGGCGGATAGGAAAATTGGTCTTTATAGCCTGAAAAATCTAACTTCCTGAGCTGCAATTATCATTAAATTACTCCAGAGGATGCAAAAAGTTACTATGTAACTTTTAGAAACAATTGTTGTCCAACAGAGCACTCACAGGTTGATATTTTTCATTATAATGATGAATTTTAAAATCCGCCATAAGGTACCTTTTGTCAATTATGGTCACATTTAATAATTCATTGTAGCGCAGTGAAGACTACCTCTTTTTCTTAACTGAATAGTGTATCATGCATGCATGGAGCTGAAAGACAGGTCTTTTGGATAGAAAGACTCATTAGCAGCTTAGACTAGAGTTCATTGCTGAAAGAAAATTAAAAAACAAAAATAAATGGGGAGCATGGTCTAAATTTGTACTAAAGATTCTTTGTAAAATCACAGCAAAGACAAAGCTGTTGCTACACCAGTTGATGTATACAAGATAGAATTACTAGCTTCTGATCACTCCAAGTATGAGGATTTTAAATATTGATGGTGTGCGAACATCAGTTTTTTACTCCATTCATGATAAAAAGAACAATTTTAAGATCAAGCAATCTTCCTTTAATTCATTTACTTATTTATTACAGTGAAAATAGCAGTAGGAGAAGACAAACAAGACAGAGGAAATCACACTAATGGAAGCGGCTTGGCCAGCCAGAAATGACTGATGCCAAGCTATTTCTATACTACTAATTCACATCAGTTTAGCACGGTATAGCTGAGCACTTGCTAGATCTATAGCTAGTTCAAGTTTCATGCTGAATTTTCATTGTAACTGGCACACAAAAAAACTAAATGCTGTACTATAAAAGATGACAGTTTAGTTTATGACTTGCTAAATTTGTGTGAAACTGAACATGTAATGCGCTGTCAGTTTTAGCACCTCTATGACTGAAGTTTGCATAATATAGACTACTAGATAATAGTTTAATGCACTGATGTGCTTTTAAGGGCACTTTATAGCTCTTATATAATGTGGTTTCAGTTCAAATCATACGGCAGTGTACTACCATTATGATAAGAAGAAAACATTATGCATTAGTGACAATGCTTACAATTAATGTTAGGAAAGTCAGGTAAATTTTCTTTTGCAGGATAAACAGTGACAATATTTGACTCAGAGCTACAAAAAAGGGTTATTCCAACTATGAAAATGCTCAGTTCAGCTTACCTGATGGGTTCACTGTATACATAGCCCGAGGCTTCTAGGCAATAAAACAGGACGGCATCTCCATCAAACATAGAGGATACCGTAGTGTCCATAGCCTTTGTAGATCTACCGCGAGAGGGTGACTGATTAGTATGGATTATTAGTCTTATTAATAGTATCTTCTAGTTGTAATTGACCAATCAGATTGCTCTTAATTTAATGGAACTGCTTAGTTCCAGCCTACACATGCGTTGCAAGAACATTAAATTTAAATTTTTTTACTCAATCACAAAAATAAAAGAAGGCAATAGCAAATTAATAATCTAGATCTGTAGATTTATATATGCTTTAATTGTGATGACATTAATTTATTCAATCAATACTATCTATTATAGCTGAAAAGGCTAATTTATATTTATTATGATAATTATTATAAATTTACATCATTCAGTGCTATATGCAATGTAGTACAGCAATCAAAAGGTACAAAAGAAAATAATTGATTAAATTAAAATTTTATTCTCATTTTATATTGCATTTTAATCCTCATTTTCTGTCAGTAGGGTTGAAATTTTTGTATTATAACAATTTTTTGTTTATTATTATTAGATATTATTATCATTATTATGACCCATTATTAATTTTATCCTGGCACGAAATCTTTAAAGTGTAAGTGCAGTAATTTTTTAGGGTATTTATTTTATGGTCTTAATATGATTGCCTGACCATAATAATAATGTGTTCCAACTCCCATTGTCTAAAAAAATTTATTCATTGAGATATGAGCCTTCAAAGATGCACTTTTTACTTCCTGCCAATTTACTTCCTGTACATGGGTGTGGCTAAAGCGTGACGTCTTAGAGGCATTGATGCATGCAGATAACTCCATTACTCCATTCCTTTATAGGGGGAAAT